CTATTTTCCGCTAAATAAATTTTATTTCCCGACGCTTTTTACCCCATTGATTAAGGCGCTTGAGAACACCCTAAATCTGATAAATGATCAATTTGAAAGCCTGAATTCATGGAATCATGACAGTGCTCAAATGATTTCTATACACTTCGAGTTGATTTCTGGTTCATACCTTTATTATTTATCTCAGTATTCATGTTTTATTTATAATAAGTATTCTATTCTATTCGATTCGATTTCATATTACGATATATTGCATGTTATATTGTTTACATATTCATTCATTTTACATATTCATTCATTTTACATATTCATTCATTTTACGTCATTAATTATTCTCACATACCGAAATGTCAGTTGTTTCCAGCGGGAAGTTTTAATTTTGTATCTCATCGGAGTGCTACAAATGGTCTATACTAATAGGCAATCACTTCATAGATACCCCCACATTTCACCAACAATTATTAACCGACAAGTTCATTTTACCGACAGTATATTTCACCGAAGCTCATTTCACCGACAAGTTTTTTTTTTATAATTACACTAACTCTAATTTTAATTCTAACTGACCCTAATGATATTGACCAGAATTGCTTTGTCTGTAAAATGAGCTTCGGTGAAATAAACTGTCGGTGAAATGAACTTGTCGGTAAGTGTCTATGAAGTGATTGTCGGTGAGTTGATTGGATCTCTACATGAATTCTCTAAACAAATAAGCAATCGACTGTCATCCCGAAAAGTCATCAAATCATAACTTCTAAGCAGACTGCTAAATCAAACCCAACAAAATCAGGTTAGCAGAAAAAAAACTGAAATTACCTTTCCCCTTAAATACTACTAATCGTAATACTACATAATTTCACAAAATCACGAAATCATACAATAAATCACGACAATCAAACGAAATCATACGATAAATCACGACAATCAAACGAAATCATGCGATAAAATCACGACAATGCAATTATTGCAGTTTGCATAATTTTGTGACCTCTACGATTAATTTTTTTATGATTAGATGATTGTAATTGCGATCGCGATTGCTAAAGCCGGCCAATTTATCATAAATCTGAGCTTGACACAAGCTTATATTCATGATAAATTGGCTGGCTTTAGCGATCGCAATCACAATAATTTAATCATAAAAAAAAAATTAATCATAGGGGTCACAAAATTATGCAAACCGCAATAAATAATTAAATAATTAGGTCAATCGATTAAAATCGATAGTTGACTAAAATAATTTAACAACTAATCGATTGAAGAAATTTTAACAATTTGTAACACTAGGTCAAAGTTCAAAAATCCGTCAAATTGCAGAATCCACATATGCACCTTGGAGTTGCGGAAATTTGAAATTTGTTGCGGCCTGGACGGGATTTGTCGCGATCATTACACGAAATTAAAATTTGATATTTGATTAATCTTTGATATCTCGTGATTAGGTTTTGATAATTTTGAATACCATTCGAATCATCTTATTGAGACGATTCGAATGGTATTAAAAGTATTGAAACCTGGTTGCTAAATCACGAGATATCAAAGATTGATCAAATCAAATTTCGTGTAATAATCGCGTATTTATCTATTATCTTTATAATGTTTATTATTGAAAAGTTTCTTAGTAGACTCATTCATATGGTATAAATAATCTTTAACGGTTTGTAAAATGTAATTATAGAGCGACCATTCTCTATTGGAAATAATTTGAAATATATAGAATAAATACAGATCAAAAATGTTTTCCGACATTTTTTTTTTGTAGCGCGTCCACAAAATTATAATTTTTGACCAATCAAATTTTAAGATCAGATGTAACATGACAGTCAAAATACGTTAGCTATGGCAAACAGCGCCATCGCGAATCATCTCACTAGAACAAGTTGCGGGTACGACTTGAATATAATAAAAAAAAGCATCAACATTGTAACTGACCGTAACTAATTAATTGCTGTAATATATAATTATAATTTACACCGTAGCTAAAACTTTAATATCTGATATATCCCCTTCGCTAAAAATTTAATGAGGCTACTGCAGCCTCAATGGATGCACGCAATCCAATCCACGCTTAATGCTCTACATCAAGAAACTAACTTACGAAATGACAAACCCCCAAAATCCTCAGTGTATTAATGAGGTGCTTATTCTGAAACTGCAGTTATATTAATAGCCCAAGATCAGTAAATCAGATTATAAGAATGTTGCCCGTCATTAGAATTAAATTATCAATTCTCTTCTATTTCTCAACAATCTATTTCACAAACTCCTGTTACCCAAAATTCTATCCCTAATAGATTACCAAGAAATATATCATCTAAAGAATGACTACCTAACACTTCACTGATAATCTATCCGAGGATGCCCTTGTTTCAACATATAGAAGTAAGAAATCTTGTACGTAACGTACGTACATACCTGTTATGGATAATTATGGAAGTACCCATTATAGGAAATATATATTATAAATATATATATATATATATATATATATATATATATAGTATACAGTATATAGATTACATTATAAGAAATATTAAGTGAAACGTTAAAATATATCAGAAATTAGAATTGTTTTATCAGATTCTTTAATTTAATTCACCCCTTATATCACAGACTATCCGGAAAGAAAATCAATGATCGCATATTAAGCAAACGCAACAAACATTATAAACCCCACATTAAACATACATACTCAATCGACAATGGAAAAATGCGTTCCTTACTGTTTTGTGTTTCCACGCGCGTAACTTGAGTACAAGATCATATGTGATCTGTGTTAGAAGAATTGTGCTTAATCATGTTTTAAGAATTACAATGGAAATTTTGCCTAAAAGCAAAAATACAATGAACTCAAAAATGGTATCGGTATGAATTAAAAATAAAATTAGCATATAATTACAGTAATATAATACAGTGTCAAATAATTTGATTAACATGAATAAATTTAGATACTAGATCTTAAAAAGATTTGTACGAGCGAAGAGTTCATGCATATTCTTTTATTAAAAATAAATAAATAATACCGGTAAATGCGAATTTTAACTAAATTAACTTTGGTAATTGTTCCTAAATTTGTCAATAATTTGTCATTACAGCATTACTTGAAATGAAATAGGTAGTGTACATCAAAAAGAACTGGTGCAAGATTAGTTTCGTGCATCATTTTCTTTTGATAACAATCCCATACAATTACTGTATCAGGCATCTGTTATGAATAAACAAGTAACATACTGACATAATGATAAATATGTACGTACGTATGCACGTATTTTCTCAATATTTGATATGATATTTCCATCAAATCAATGAATATTACTGTATAACGATAACGTTCTTTTGAGACTTTATCCAATTAAAAAACTTGCCTACTAACTAATAACGTCTTAGGTCGTCGTTACGCAAAAACAAAAAAGAATTAATTAATACTGTAATCGATCTAAAACAAAAAACAAAAAAAAAAAATCCTAATTTGAAAATACTCGCGTGAAAGAGAGTACCATAATTAAGACAACCCCACAGAACAAAGTCATGCAATGCTTTTAATTTTTGATCCTTTGATTTAATTGGTCAATGCAGCTTAATTTATCATGTGCAAAAGGGCCCGTGCAAGAAAAGTGATAAATATTATTTCAGTATTTGTTTATATATAACATATAATAAATAAAAATAAATAAAAATAAAATTTTTTTTAAAAATGTTACTCCCATATCTCCTGCATGCAATACTTGCATTATTTTATTTTCAAAGTTTACACCTCATAGTAACTCATAGTCTTATGACAATTCTCTGTGTAATAACATTTTCCACAAAAGTCTTCATTAACACACGGGGGAACCAGTCTAATTGTTCTTAAATTCGTTATGTGCTTGATCGGCTTGACCATTTTGAGTTCCATCGCGTGACGATCTCAGATTAAATTTACCTTATGCATATTATACTTTATTCACATATATTATAGCGTGGTTATAAATAAGATCCTGTTCTCAATAAATTTATTGTAATTATTAATATTGAATATATTGTAAATAACTGGTACAGTATTTACCCACCATGTCGGGTTCAGGAATGTGTTTATATGCTCTCTTTATTTTAATCTTAATTACATATTTTTTCTCGATTTTTTGATTTTTCTTCGATTTTTTTGAATTGCTGGGAAAAAAAATAACTTATATAATCGAAAATCTCTCTTTTTGGGGTTTCGTCGCCGATCTTAAAATTTGGATTGGTTCAATCCTATCCCGAATTCTGGTAAAAAAGTTATTGATAAACTTAACCCAATTTTCACCGCATATATGCGTCTCACATCTTTTTTTTTTTAATAAAATTATTATTCAAAGTCTATTTTTGTGTTTGTGCACTGTCTGAAATATTTCATTTGTGTAATAAAAAAAAAAAAAACCCTTACGTAAGTCTTGGAAGGCAAGAATGTTTTGATAAACAAGATTTCGTCAAATTAAGATAAATATAGGTGGTAATCCGACACGGCAAAAGTTCCATCTCACTTTTCATCATTATTTATAAAAAAAAATCAACCGTTCGATTTAATTATTATGGCATCTTCTAATCCTTCTAAGCGTCCGCGCTTGTCTGAAAGTGACTCTCATCTGGAAGAGCATAATCAACATTTACAACAACTTCATTCTCAACAGTTTCAACCAAATAATTTACAAAATAAACAGTTATATCAAAATAATCC